TTTGCTTATTCACCCGCTTTGTCTTCAGCGGTTGTGTCGGGAAGGTGAGCATCATAGAATGCCAATTTAATAGAAGAAAGTATTCTTGCGTTGAGGGAGTACTTGAGTGGAGGCCCAATGAGACTGTAACTCTTGACAGGAGTAGAAATCCTTGTCTGTCTCCCACAGAGTGGCTGTTGGTTTTGAATTGCTGAACTAGTGGGTAGCCCAAAGTGTAACCATTACACCACCAGGGCTCAGCAAAGAATATTAAGGAGATCAAGTGCTAGAAGTACAAACAAATCTGTCTGGGAATGTCATTCAGAAGTGCAGGTGGCAAAATTTCACCTCACGTACTTAATGTTCCTTGGGCATATTATCAGGAGGGGCTAGTTCCTAAAGAAGGACATCATGCTTGCCAAAATAGAGTGCCGGCAAAAAAGAGAAACAAGAAGATCCTCAACAAAGATTGACACAGTGGCTGCAGCAGTGGAGTCACGCTACAGTAATTATGAGGATGGCATAGGGCTGAGCAATTTTTCAGTCTACCGTAGGCAGGGTAGCTCTCAGTCAGAGCCGACTCACCAGCACCAAATAACTACCAGTGAATGGAACCCATGAGTAACTATCAACAAGGAATGAGATCAAGTATAGAAGCTATAACGATACTTACATAGAACCCACAGGGAGAATATACCCAGTAATATCTTCCTAACAAACTTTTGTTTGTTTTCGAAAGCATTTTCCTGGGAGCTAGTACAGATCATTCCGTAGTTCAATCACATCAAGCAGTATTGTACAATTGCTACCACAAACGGTTTCAAAACATTCTGTTCTTGAACTCCTTGACATCAGCTCCCTTTCTAATTGGATATTTTTGACCTAGTTTCTATGTGCGATCGACCACTGGGCTTCTAGACTCTGTCCTTTCTAGGCACACAACAGCCTTCATAGGGCACACCAGAAGGATTTGGATAAATGAACTGGGCTTTACTTCAAAGTCGCCTGTAGCAGATCATGCTTCCTTGGACGTAAAGCTAAAACAACCTACTGTGAGAAGAAGGAGATGACTGCTTTCCCAAGGCTATGGAATTAGTGGTTGTTTGCTTTGGTTCAGATCTCT